ACGTAACGTAACGTAACGTAACGTAACGTAACGTAACGTACGTACGTAACGTACGTAACGTAGTAGTAGTAGTAGAGAGAGTAGAGAGAGAGANNGAGAGAGAGAGAGAGAGAGAGCTGGTTATTAGCTACAATGAAACAACATAAACTCATTTATTTGATTGAGACGAGAAAGAGAGAAAGAGAGAGAGAGAGATAATTGGGAATTATTTGGATATAAATGCATTTTACTATCTATGTAAACCACATTGTATACATAAATGTCATACATGAAACAATAAGGCCGTTACAAAAAAGTACTTTATTATCCAAGTAAACCCACATTTCATCATAAATGGATAGTAATTTTACTATCCATAAATCGACCCTTTACATGATCCAAAAAAAGGCCTTTTATATGATATGAAAATAGGTCCTTTACATGCCCCCATAATTAAGTGCTTTACATGTCCTTATAAATAGTTCCTTTAAATGCCCTATAAATAGGCCATTTACATGGCCCCATAATTATATGACTGTCTTATATTCACATAACCCCGAAAGTCAATTACAAAAAAGGGTTTTTTACATATTTCTAAAATTTCAAAAATTAATCAATATAAAAAATCCTTTATGCATATATGCAAATGAAGCCCTGCAAGTTGCCATATCTTCCATGTGAATTATAAGGGCCACAATTTTCTTTCAAGCCAATATCGTCGCGTGAGAAGAGAGATATAATGTCGTGCGAGAAGGAGCAAGGATTTTCGCCGTGTAATGAAAGGTGTGTGGAGTATTGCTGTCTGGACATTGTCGGGCGCCGGTTGAAGCAGCGCCGATTAGAACAGCGCCGGTTGAGATAGAAGAGAGAGCGGCATTGGTTGGAGCAGCGCTGGTTGGAAGAGAAGAGAGAGCGGCGTCGGTTGGAGCAGCTCCAGTTGGAAGAGAAGAGAGAGTAGCACCCGTTGGAATAACGACGATTGGGAGAAAAGAGAGAGAGGCCTCGGTTGGAGCAGTGCAGGTTAGAAGAGAAACGATGGCAGCGCCGGTTGGAAGAGAAGAGAGCGGCATTGATTGGAGCAGCGCCGGTTGGAATAGAAGAGAGAGCAGCGCTGGTTGGAGCAGCGCCAGTTGGATGTTTGATAGTGCAGCACCGGGAGTGTCTTAGTCAACCCTTATGTGTCAGAGCAATGAGTGATTGCGTCAGCCACAGTGTTTTTCAATCACCCTCTCCTTTTAAGCCCTAAGCAACACGGGTCTCTCCCATTTTTCTCAACTTTTTCCACTCTCTTGAGTTCACTGCTGCCCCTTTCAAGACAACCCACTGGTGAATCCAAGGAAAGCCCGTGAAGGCCATGAGTGAGGATTTGTGATACCATGAGAGGTCAACGTAAGTGGGTTTAGCTTTATGCACATCCATGAGTGTTGGAAAAATGTTGAAATGGATTAGATGATATAAAGGAAAGTGTGAAGAATGAATTGGTTAACATGAGGTTGAAGTTTAAGCTTGTGCTTCTCAATGCCATGACTGTGTTTACCACATATTTGATCTTTTTATTATGGAAACTCATGAAATCGCTCACTATGAGACTCCTCATCACGAATAGGGTTCCAAGCCTAAAGTATAGCTTGGCTAGGAAACATTAAGTGTTCTTTAAAAATATATTAACTTGAGAATGTAAATTTCCAGAACTGTGAATACTTTTGCATCGATATGTTCGATGACCAAATGGCATCCAAATAGGGCCAAATCGGTCCCAAATAAAAGACGTGTTTATATTCCAAGTTTCCTTTTTGTCATGATAATACGTTGCATGGATAAAAAGATGTGGCCCTAAATGTCGAGGCATGACACTGTTCGCAGTTGCTGCTATTTCCAGTAACTGTGCCCCTCTTTAGGTAATGCTTTTGATCTAGTTAATGGTATTTAAAAACCTTGAAATTGCCTCCATTGGAAAGGTTTATTAATGTACTTAAAGTTGCATGTTTTGAGATGTTTGAAACTCCCCACGGATTTTGAGCTATGACCCGAATTGCGCGAACACGTAACTGCACACTGTTGCAGGGAAATTTCCAGCAACTAAGGCTCACTTTGTACGGAGTTATTGACCCATTAAATGGCACCCAAATTTCTTCAAATCACTATTTTTGTAAAGAAATTGTATTAGCTCAAGGTTTCATGTTTGAGGCATCTTGAAACTCCCCATACATCAGGAGCTACGCCTTCGCTACGAGGGACACGTCACCGTTAGTAGTCACTGCATCATTGTAAGACCATGCGACGCTAAGTTATCTTAATATATGATAAATGTGAATGCCATATGATAAATTCCATGAGAATGGCATAAAGATATGTGAATGATGTTGTGTAAACTGCACTTTGTGAGAAAGAGGGGCCACGAGCGCGATAATGATGAAATAAATTAACAATGAACGCCAAATGCTATTGAGAAAGCTTATGTGTAAATGCCTTGTGAGAGCCTATGAAATGCATGCCTTTTGCTAGATGCTATGACGTTATGATGAAATATGATTCATCTGTTATGAGGCAATGAATGACCATTACTTATATTGTTACTGACCACTACGCGGTGGGACACTCACCGGTAGTGGATACTGTTATGATAATGTAAAGAATGGCCACTGTTTAAATTGATATTAGCCACTACACAGTGGGACACTCACCGGTAGTGGATATTGTGTTGTTATATTGATGAGAGTGTTGACCACTACGCATTGGGACCGGAGCCCTTTGGTAGCGGATATTGGACTTATTGATGGGAACATTGGCCGCTATGCGGTGGGACCCGAGCCCATCAATAGCGAGAGCTAGGTTCACCAAGGCATTGATGAGAATATTGACCACTATGCTGTGGGACACTCATCGGTAGTGGATGCTGCTATTATGTTGCCTGCTACGCGATGTGACACTCATTGATAGTAAGAAAAGAGATACCGGTGTATCTCATAACCTGCACAATGATAGGAACGAGTTATGGGAGAGGATAAAGGGTCACACCTTAGAATTATGAAATGATATGTGATTGATGCCTTGCAAAGTAAGGACTTATCGAAAACCCAATGCACGCTGGGGACTGTGTGTGTTGAGGGTATTATGACTTTATGTTGATAAACTATTGCCACATATGGATAATACCACTACAGATGTATAACACTAGACCTACTTACTGGGCTGTATAGCTCATCCTATTATTTCTCCTCTCCTTGTAGATTGATAGCAGTAGACACAGGGCTAGAAGTTCGTGTTTAGCGGCTGGAAGACAAAGCTAGTGTTCTTGAAGAAGGTGCTTAGACCTTGTTTATGTCTGGGCTGTTTGGCTTTGATTTTGTTTTGTTCTTGGTGGATATGTGTAATATTGGGCCTAAATGCCCCGAACTGAATGTAATATTGTGAAAGGTTTTTATATTATGAATTTTGGTGTGTGAAGTTTTCCCTTACTCTTCTGCTAGTTAAGCTCGTTGCTTTAGCTCTCTTCCATGGTTTGCTCGATTCCGAATATAAAGGCATTGAGTCCACTCTTACCTGAATAACAAACGTTACATTGAATCACGAACCCGCACTCGACCGCCCATCGTCGCGTAAGGTACGGTGGTTGGGGGAGGGGTCGTGACACGAATGCAGTTTCGCAATTTGTCAACTTGATTCGAGGTCCTCAGTGGCTTTGTAGGAGAACGATTTATTGTTAGTCGGTCAGTCCAACATATAAAGCAGAAGATAAATGAAAACTAAAAAACTAAATAAAGACGGTTATACTTATTATGTTCAAAACATAAAGGAAACAAGTACTTACATCCCACACACCCTCACTAGACAATCACGCCTGTCATATCCACTCCTATTGCAAACTTTACACTTCTGAATTTCTTGAATAATTTATTGCAAACTATATAGCATATAAAATAAAAATATTAACCCCACAGAAAAGAACCTGGTGTATAAATCAAGGGTATTTTCTGCTCTCCAAAAAACTCATATTCAATCAACAGAGATTCCACTATGTGTTGGAAAAATCTTCTAAGTAAAAGGTATTTTGCCACATTTCAGCCACTAAGTAAACACATATTAAAGGCTTCCTGTGCAGGAATATGGTCCTTCACGAAAATACATCCTTGATTGATATCCCCAAAACTTAAGTCTAAGACTATGTGTGAACAAAACTTCCTATTTGATGTACATCAAGCCCAGCTGCACAATGATTCGAAAATGTAAAGGACAGTTAAAGGAGATTAACTCAATAGAATGATGACTAGCAAAAAATGGATTATAAACCTCTCAATCACAACACAACAAACCCAATGAAATGCTTTAAGAACTTCATATATGTCATCAAAAAATAAGATAAGAAAAAGAAGTCCAAAATAATACACAAAAGGAGCATGTTACATGTAATGTTGAAGAGCACAATGAGTTACCAAAAATTCTCAGAAGGGTTTGCCTAGAAGAATCCATTTTGTAATGTATTGAACCAATGTGGAAAATACGTTCCCCTATATATAATTCAATAGTGTTAAGCAACTAATCCAATTAGGTTTTTCCTTCAGAACAAAAAAGAACAAATAACGAAACACGAGATCATGTCAATCCATTTTGTAATGAACTGAACCAACGCAAAAAATACGCTCTCCTGTACACAATTCAATAGCATTAAGCAACTTATCCAATTAAGTTCTTCCTTCAAAACACAAAAAAGCAATTAACCAAATAGAAGATCATGTCAATGCCTTACACCGCTTGCCGGTACATTTACAATAATTAGTATTCAAGGAATA